TCCAATGTCAAGTAATCTCACGTAGAGCACCTTAAAGAATTACTGAACTCCACTGACCTGAACATTCAATTAACAATGGTAGCTGAAACTAACGACCAACTCCCCTTCCTGGATATCCTTGTGCGTCGGTGTGCAACTGGACAATTACAAACTACCGTTTTCAGAAAAGCCACCAACACGAGACAAATACTACACTTCTACAGCAGTCACCCTATCTCACAACCGCAGCTGTGTCCGTACTCTATTCCAAAGACTTGAAACACACTGCGGCAGACCAGCCGACAAAACAGCTGGATGACAATATCTTCATGACCTCTTTCGAGCCAATGGATACCCAAGCTACTTCATCAGGCAAAGCAAGCGCCGAGTGAACAGACGACGGCCACAAAAAAAGCCGAAATCTGGAGGGCCATTCCTTACATTAAAGGTGTCTCCGAGGCGGCTTTACGACTGTTACAACCTGCCAGGGTAGGCATTGCCCATCGGTCCCGGGCAACAATTCGTCGTCGTTTGATGCAACCTAAATACACACTGCCACCCACTGAAACCTCAGCAGTTGTCTATCAAGTACGTCTTAACGATGAAGACTGCAACTACGTTGGGGACACCGGACGGAAATTGCAGACCCGTCTACATGAACACGAACTAGCAGCTAGGGGAATAGACCCAAACTCACAGCTTGCGACTCACCTCGGTGAAACTGGCCACACTTTTGACGTCCAAGGAGCAGCCGTCTTGGGCCGGGTACCTCAAAGACAGAACGTCTCACACTTGAGGCTTGGTACTCAGATACCAACTTCATCAAAAGACACCTAGAACTTCCTGTGGCCTATAAGGTCATACATCAGTACGTACGCCGTGACGAGGACAAGACTTAATAGTACCGAGCAAACAGGGCCTGCCGACCAGTTCACCCCAAAGGGGGACACAACTCAACTAACCCCAACTGAGATGACGACACACAACACAGGAGGCCACCAACACTCATAAACGACGGCCAGTAGGCCAAGGCAGCGATCAGCCTTTTGGAGTAGACGCTTTGATAATGTAGAGCCGTCCAAGCTCTTCGAAACCTCAGCCAAACAATTCCCTCGATCCAGTGAGCACTTCCCTTTCCTCCTAGTATCGACCCGGATATCCGACGTTTGCTGACCCCCTTTCGACAGTTTTGGGCACCATTTTATTTGGTTTATCCATCCGGACTCCAAATTCAGGTGTAACACCACAGCAGAACTGACGGACAGAAACTACTTTGTTTTAGCGTGATCACCCTTTTTTAGATCGATCATGAGACCTGATCACGCGTGGACCATCATCGACGACCGTCAATCTGATAAGTCCAACCTTCGAAATTTTTTCCACCTATCTGTTTCGTTTTATATTAGTACTTATGTCGTTTTACAGTTTCGTTACTTCTCCCAGTTATCCACACCCATGCTTGCACTCACGAGTTTCCAATATTTTCGTTCCTGACTACTTTCCTATCGTTCGTTATCGTTCGTTTTCTGCCAACCTGGTTGTAACATCAACACTAGTTATACGTTACATCTTGCCTTTCAATAAAGTGTTTGCGTTTTCCATCCGTCGTTTAATCCTCACCACTTAATAGTGTGCCTATATGCTAGTGTCTGCATGATGGATGCTTTATGTACGAACGCTCAAGAACCGGAGTCTCTGACCAAGAAACTGAAGTTATACTCAGATTCGAGTGACCGTCAGTCGGTTCCGCCACCCCTCGAGTACGCAGGACATTACAATGGTGGCAGCTGGTGAGCGCACCAGCCCTTTCCCCCTTCCACACCCGAACCAACCCAACCACCCTGCCCAACTGTCTAGCACCCTAAACCCTAAACCCGAAATTTTGAAATAATTTCATGCAAGATATGCATCAAACAATTACCGACACTTACTACTTCTGGGTGACTTCAACGCTCCAGGAATAGACTGGAACATTCCCCTAACAAACGCCCCGTCCACGTCATTTGATCACAAGCTACTTCAACTCTCCCTGAATGAATACCTCATTCAGCACATAAAATTCGGAACAAGAATGAGAGAAGGACAACGGTCTAACTGTTTAGATCTCGTTTTCAGTAAAGAAGAAGGACTCATAAGGGAAGTGAATCCACAACCTCCACTCGGTTTAAGCGATCATATTGCTTTTACCTGCGTGTGCTCTCTCATATCCAACCAACAACCAAACATGAAGAGGCGCCGAAATATTTGGAAGGGTGACTTTAACGCAATGAGATGCACGGTCTTGGAGGAAACCTGGTTGTTCAACACAGAAGATTCAGACGAATTCTGGCAGTACTTTCGCGGGATTATAGAGCGTCTAATTGATTCCCACTGTCCAGTAAAAATGACAAGACTATGTTCGCTACGGCCGTGGGTCAATCCGACGACAAAAAAGACCATGAAGAAGAAACAGAGACTCTGGAAAAAGTATTTGCAACTTCAAGATCCAAGGTCATTCGCCGAATATAAGGATCAGCGCAATAAATGCCGCAAGCAAATACGGACTGCCAGAACTTTTTTTTGAGCGCCAACTGATAGCAGAATCCATTACATGTCCCAAGAAGTTTTACGGGTACATCCGCAGTAGGAGGAAACATAGGGACGAAATTGCGTGTCTAAAGGATAGTCTCGGAAACTTAGTAGTTGAAGGGTCACAGAAAGTGCGATTATTATCTCAGTTTTTTCAATCGGTTTTTACGGAGGAGTCCTCAGAAGACAATCAGCAGTTTGAAATGGACCGAGACAGCCGGCAGCTTCAAATGCACCAAGAAACTGCCTTCATAGAAACCGTCGCCTTTTCCGTCGAAGAAGTCAGACGCGTCCTCAGTCAAATAAAACCTGATAAGTCTCCTGGACCCGACGGAATTCCCGGGCTGATACTTAAGGAGCTATCAACGGAGCTGTCAAAGCCGCTCTCGACTCTCTTTGAGCTGTCAATGAGAACAGGAAGGCTGCCCTCACAGTAAAAGACAACTAACCTCGTTCCATTGCATAAGGGAGGTAGCAGGATGACAGCAAGCAGCTTTAGGCCTATTAGCTTAACTTGCCTCCCTTGCAAAACGATGGAAGCTATAGTAAAGATCTCTATACAGAAATTTTGTGAAGAAAATAACATCTTGCAGGATTTTCAACATGGCTTCCGGAGAGGACGTTCCTGCCTCTCAAATTTGCTAGCTTGTCTGGAGATCTTGACCAGGGCTCTAGAAGAGGGTTTTGAGGTCGATGTCGTATACATCGATTTCCGCAAAGCTTTTGACACTGTCCCGCACCAGCGTCTTCTTCACAAACTGAGCGCCATCGGCATCCGGGGAGATCTTCTGAACTGGATTAGGGCGTTTCTCGTTGGTCGGAAACAACGTGTCTGTATCGGGGATGATATGTCACAATGGGTGAACGTGACCAGTGGTGTGCCGCAAGGCTCAGTTCTGGGACCATTGCTCTTCATCCTTTACGTTAACGACAGCCTTCAGGAACTCGACTGCGGCAAAATAATGTTTGCAGACGACGTTAAGCTCTGGCAAGTCATTAAGGAACCGAATGATCAGAGATCACTTCAAGATAATTTGCACCGACTGCAAGCGTGGTCGAAGAAATGGCTTCTAGATTTCAGTGTGGAGAAGTGCGCCGTCCTTCATCTGCGTCCAACCAAATCTCATTAAAATGAGAGCTTGAGGGCATATCGCTTGAAAGATATAGGGCTCCCTGCAGAATCTTCAGAGAAGGATCCCGGTGTATGGATACAGAACAACCTGAAACCAACACTGCAGTGTCACAAGGCTGCAAAAAACGCCATGGGAGTGCTGCATGCAATCAAAAGGGCTTTCGTTAACTTTGGCCAAGACCTTTTTAGGAGAGTTTACGGCACTTTTGTTCGGCCCCACTTAGAATATGGCAAACAAGCATGGCGGCCATGGTTAGTAAAGGACCAAGCATGCCTCGAACGGGTACAACGGCGTGCATCAAAGCTGGTAAACGGTCTAAAAAGCCAATCCTACACAGACAGACTGAATTGCCTTAATTTATTCCCTCTGTGTTACAGGCAGCAAAGAGGTGATCTTATCCTCGTCTACAAGATAATACATGGCCTTGAGTATGGAATTAAATTTGAGGACATGTTTCAGTGGCACCTTTCACCCAATCTTCGTGGTCACTCGATGAAGTTACGGACAACAATGTCCAGGCTGAATATTCGTTCTGAATTTTTCACGCAGAGGGTAGTGGAGAAATGGAACGATCTCCCTCAGTCAGTCGTGGAGGCTACATCCCTGCAACTCTTCAAGAAACGCTTGGATGATTATTTGTGTCCCCTGTTTTCCCTCGACAGTCTGAATGTGAACTAAGACCCCACGTCCCCACAAATATTTTCTCTGAGACAATGCTACTCATATAAATCAAGAACTGTTTTAATAGTGATTATTTTTTGTTCGTGTACTGTTATTTCTAACGAGCTGACATGTAATTAATAGGGGTTTCAAAGGCTTTGCCTATTATCCTTACCAAATAAACTGAATAAACTGAAACTGAACAGTCTTCTACTACCCTCCGAACTATACTAGCCAGGGCAGAACATCCGAGAGTGGCTCCAAGACCTCTCCCTCCTCCTAGTGAGCCTCCCCGTCACAAACACACATGCTACCTCTTACGTTTTCTGTCGCTCCCCGCACATAGGCAGGCGTTCGATGCCGGTCTAACTCCCACATCTGACTTACAAAAAGCCTATGAAGCCTGCAATCCTTCGCCAATCCCGTCGCCTCGGCCATAGCGAAGCAACGGTTCGCAACGCCACGACAACGACCCGGCCAATCAGTTGACGATTTCGCCCACGACCAACGACGTCCGGCCGCAGCGGCTTTCGCCAACCTCGCAGAAATCGACCGCGACCGGTTCATACTACACCAGTTCATTTCCGGCATAAGGCACCGCACCGTTAGCGGTGTCCTCTTGTTGCACCCACCGGCCAGCTTGTCATCGGCTATCCAACAATGTCGGCTCTACGAGGAGTATTACGCGAGAGCGAATGGGCCTCCACACCATGCCAACAGCCCCAACCGCACGACCCCCCCCCCCACCCACCAGACGGCCTCCCGCTCTACCAGTCCGATTTCCGTACCGAAACCCTGGATGTCCTTATTGCGCAGCGTTCGGACTCCAAGCTCAGCGATGTGAACACACTCCGCCAAGTAAGTCAATCTTCGTTGCTCCTACTTACTTGGCTCTATCGTCCCATCCACCCTTTTTTACAATCCCCGCTAAGCTAGACGGTCACAATATGCTAGCCCTAGAAGACACAGGCGCCAACGTTTCCTTCGTGAATAGCTCCAGCCTCACTCGCGAGTTATACGAGCAGATCTACCACACGAGTGGCCCCCATACCCTGTGGGTAGCGAACGGCACTTTAATACCCATCTTGGGTCGCATAACCCTAGGCCTCACTATAGACAACACAGAGGTGACATACCCATTCCTGGGGGCGACATAGGGCCCGTGGGCCTTAGTTCTAGGGTTGGATCTCCTGCCGGACTACGACTGCGTTATCCGCACAAAGAGTCGCCGCCTGTCAGTTCCGACACTCCCAGAACCTCCCACCCATACACCATCAGAGAACCTCGATCTGATATACAACACCGTGGTAGCAGCCGCAACACTCAAGCCGTCCAACATTGATGCGAACCTACCCTCAGCAGAAGCAGTCGGGTCAGATAACCGCAATAGACTACGTAGACACCTACTGTCATTCTCCGGGTTGTTCACCTAATCAACCGATGCAATCGGGCGCAGCCGCAAAGTTCAACACGCAATTAGCAGGGACGGCGCCAAGCCCATTTGGTAACCCCCACGCCGAATACTGGTACTGTTCCGAGCAGAGGTAGACAAAATCATATATAAACTGCTAAAAACCCGCATTATACAGTCGTCCTAATCTCCATGGGCATCATCTATAGCCCTAGTCCCCAAAAACGACGGCTCCTTCCGTCTCTGAATAGACGATCACCGCCTGAATGCCGTAAATGTCCGCAATTCATTCCCACTACCGCGCTTAGACGACACCCTAGATAGCCTTCGCGGGGCAGCCTAATTATCGACACTGGACCTTAACTTGGGCTATTGGCAGGTCGAGATAGATCCCAAAGACCGTCAGAAGACCGCGTTTATCCTACCACAAGAAATGTTCGAGTTCCAGACGCTTCCTTTCGGACTATGTAAGGCCTCCGCCACTTTCCAACGACTGATGTACCAAGTGTTCAACACCCTGTCCCACACAAATGCCTCGTTTATCTGGACGACATCATCGTATTCGGCCCCGATGTCGAACAACACAACCGCAATTTAAGAGATGTGTTAGCAGTCCTCCGCGATGCCTGCCTGACGTTGAACCCGGTCAAATGCACAATCCTACGGCCAGAAGTACAATTCCTGGGCCATAAAATCTTTCCAGGCCGCATAGTCGCTTTACCAGACCGACTTAAACAGATTCGCACCTGGCCGACACCCGCCAACCAGACGCAATTGCGTAGTTTCCTAGGTCTTGCCTCTTACCACCGACGGTTTATCCGTAATTTCGCCCACAGGTGTGCAAGTATCTGACACTGGGGCGTAATTACTTAGTTATAACAAAATGGACCAAAAAAATACTTATTTTTTGCTGTTATTGCCAGTAGCGTTTCCTAAATTGATTTGTGTTTAAACAAGTCAATATATAACTACTACTATTGTCATATTTCGCCGGGTCTCCTGATTCGTCAAATAGGTCCTTCGTGTATTTCTGTCGGGCTTCGATCGCTTGTACGCGCGTAGTTGTCAGATGGCTGAGATAGGAAGGCGGCGTGCCGTCTCTTTTTGCGCGGTAATTATTCCAGCTAAATTTATAACACATTTTCTCACTGCTTCCTTTGCCGAGCCTCTGTTCTTGCCGAGTTAGTTATTGCCGCCTAGGATTGCAAACATTGTTAAAAATCATGCACTAACAAGTCGGCAGTCCACGCAATCTGTGAACGTTGGTGTATTGCCAGTGGCGTGACCGGCCAAGTTCTTGCGACTGCCTAATAGGCACAACCTGTCCTTGCGTCCCTCCGTATGATTGGTACACGCGGCGTCCAAGGCTTTACTGACGCGCGCATGCATCGTTTGCACATAGTGAAGACACCTGCAAGGGGATTGTGTCTCATGTACGCTGGAGGGTCTTCTCTGTGTGGTAGTAACTGACTTTTCCAGAGATGGATGGACGACCTCCAGGCCGTCGATGACGCATGCGCCAGCAATTTACTGACTGATACAGGTTGTGCTGAGTCTGCTAACCGCATAAGTGGACGTGCTCTTGTAGAAAAATCAAAGCTGCTGACCCAGGGATAACCAATTAATAGGGTATTGTTCTCAGAAAACATTTCATATTGTAATTCAGCTATAAGGCTTCTCTTGTACTTATTTCGTTTGGTTGTGACGTGTAGTTTAAAATCACTTGTCCGAGATGTTCTTCCACACTTCCCCCGGTGACGTGGTGGCGGAGACTTAAAGGCCCGTATCTCCAAAAATATGTTATTTGCATAAAACTGGCATAATTTTAACATGTTAATCTTGGTACTATAGTGGCATGATTTTAACAGTCTTATCATCTAAATGTAAAGCTGATACTCCCAGGTTTATGCTGCGTCCGACCGCCACCGCCTGGCTGTGTTGTCAAACGCACATTGGCTAGTACATCAACTACCTCTTGAAGGCACTTACCCTTATGGGTCAGTGTGTCTTCTAATCTATTCTGGGCATACAGAAAAATCTCATATTTATTTTGTCCAATTAGCTATGACTGCTCATACTGCACACCAAACGTGGCTGTCTTATGGTCTAAAGGAATCGTGCGACGAAACCGACAGCGAAGACTTACCCTAGACGACTTTGCCTATGTGTGTTACGTAGACACTACGTTTGCCCTTGTTGCTGGGACAGTTAAATTATCTCGTCATATCTTCCACCGTAACGACTTGCATTTGTCGGAGATGAGGACAATGGCGTGTAATCTAACACTTAAGGTCGAACATAGTGCTCACTTTGCAAAACCCTGCATATTTCTTCACGCGCCAGTTTTCCTTGCAATATTTCGCTGCACAGACGTACCATGCATACATTAGGTCCCTGGGACGCCATGAGGTATAAATATAGGCGTCGGAAACGTGAATGAAAACAGAGTTACCAATATGGTAACGGTCGCTGCCACTACGCGCAGTACGTCTACTTTTCACCAGGTTCTCACTTATGCGGACATATCGGTCAGTTACTTCATTTCCTGTCGTCAGTGAATTGGTTACTATGGGCCGCATGGGGACACTAACGTGTCTGTCATCACGGTCATGTGGCGTGAAGCCATTTCTCCGTTTTTTCCCAAGCGACAAGCCACGTTTTGTGAGGCCTTCTTGACCTTCTCTGGAGTCTCCTTAACCAACCCAGAAAACCTTCAGATGGAAATGGCAAGAAGATGTCCATTGGCTCCTATCTGGCAACGTTATCGGGAATGTGCGACACTTAGAACATTATGCACCACTGTACAAACGTAGGAACGAGTTATGAAATGCCCAGTCAGACTGCGACAACATGGTAACCACTCGGCATACAGAGTGCTGTATGACAGCAATATTGAGGAGAGGAACAATTGTAAAAAGTTCCCATACGCATGTTCAGAAGGTACACAGTACAAGGTTGTGAAACCTGTAAGTATGCGGAATGCACCTATTCATGAGTAATATTCGGCTGCTAATGATACCCACTGTCGAAGGTAACGACCCGTAATTCGTACTTTGTAGGCTACTGGTTCACAAAATAAGCAATCTCACCAAGCCTAAGTCATTTAAATGCGTTGGATCTAGAGGGGGCCGGAAATGAGTCCAAAAATGCATGACAAGTATGACGAAATGCTACAGCGTTCATTCCACTCGTTAATGTTCCATCTGCGGGACGTGCAGAATTCTTTTTAATCCCTGTACCTACTCCCCGAAAAGTACACATTTCGCAACGGCGCCGGCTTGCCTAAGAAACTCCCATGTTGGTGTCTCGCAAATTAGGACAAAACCTCCGACTCATGTTGCCCTCAGTTAGCTATGTTCACTCCACTTCCTGTGACCTCGCAGAAGTCGTGCGTTATTTTTCAGCAGTTCGAAACTGTATCATCCTGTTTTGAGGACCATAGTAAATCCTCGCAAGAAACACCCCGCTTTTAACCGTTTAACGATCCTGCCTAGGATAAGTGAAATCCGGTTCTTGTCTTACGGCTAACCGGTATGCCATTTATACTAAAATACACTGTTAACTGCGGTAGACGTTTCGAAATTGTCCAAACTGTGTTGGTACTACTTATGGCAGAGGGGCGCTCACCGATCGTTTTTAAGAAACTCACTTATCCCGTTGTGCCTTAGGGCTCTCTCGAGTCCAGCCAGCAGCCGCATAGCAGCTCATGATATAGGCAGAATAGCATTACCGACAAGACAGGGGAGACTGGAATGACCATTTCTGGCTTATTGGCAGTCGTCAGCCCGCTCCTCCCCTTCGTATGGCATCTACACTGCACACAGTCGTGCCCACCAAGAGGTCTCCCTGGATCTAAAAGCATATTTTCTACAAACACTGTTAAAAGAGCTAGCGGTGTCTGCAGTTGACAATGTGGTGGAGGTGAATGGACAGTCTACAAGCTCACCTCTTCCCGAATGATCAGCCTGTCACCAACAGCTGCCGTACGTGCTGGGCCTTACACGTCAAATTCGCTGAAAATACCTCAGAATTGTGATATCCCCACTCATAATTGCTCACTGCTCACACTCATCCTAACTCAGGTTCTGAAACTGACGAAGCCGTTAATGTCACTGAGGCAGGATTCCTCTTTGCATCTCTCATTACTTCCTGATGCTATTTCGTAACATTTCAAGCAATAAGCCTTCTAAAGGCCTTCTCTATTTTCTTGGGAACGTTAATCGGTTAAAAACACAAGTGAAAACGAGTAATTAGATATTAGATGTAGTCACGCCAAAGTACCTTCGGCATCCGAACAACCGTAACCGAAGATGACTGCGATCAAAATCGTACCCATCGACCCATAGCCTGTCCCTTTCCCGTCAGATGTTGACAGCGGCACGCTATTGAGCTGCTAGACCACCGCGTGCACCTTTCTTGTCTGTCCCGGACCAAGATGACTTAGGCGGTAATTAGGAAGAAGGCCACCTAAGATGAAGGCATGGTGCCCACTGAAGCGATGCACTTCCGAAATATTGGCATGACTATGGTGAAATGCGTATTTTATGGTTTGGGGTTTGCGTCCAAAGCCAGATCATTAATCAGTGATGGCGTTGAGCAACTGGTCAGTGTCTCCTGGAGGCTCGAGGGCACTACAAGGCCTATTGGTCGTTGAAGTGAAGCCTGTTCGCTTTCGTTTGGCCATCTGAATGTGTTTACGGGGAAAGCACGTTTCACAGTTTTTATTTTTCCGTCAGAATACCAGCGATTTCTTTGATTATATTTCGATGCAGTTTACTACCCCTCATTCACCCATGCTCCAGGAATAACTCGTTTTGGCTTATGCGTTCGGTTATCCAATAGTACCCTTGCTTTAAACTGGCATATCCGGACGGTTACTTATTTTACCTTAAAGCATTCCCGTATAATCTTCTGTTTTCTTCATACGTGACAAGTCGACTTTTTTTCCTCCTAGCCCTCGCTGGTGAAACAGTTGCCGAAACCACTTCCCGAACAAACGAATCTGCAAGTAGCCGATGACCAACTTCCAACGAATAAACTCTGTGCTCTTGCACGAACGTCGTTCTCTTTTTCAGGAAGTCAGAAAAGTAGCCTCCATGGTTTGGTCCACTCCCAGGACACTGGCTCAGTCAACGACGGAGAGGTCTTCGCTTCGAGTGGCCCATACTGTGGGAACCTGCTCGGGGAATCGGATTCACTGGCAGCGTTTTCTTGTGCCTCCCGTAAAGTTGCAGTATGCGTCCCTCCCCCACCTTCACTGGTCTTAACTGCTCCTATCAGTGAAGAACACTCAACACCCAACGACCCTGCCAACCTTAAATCAGCGTTACGGGAAACGACAGGATCAACCGACCACTCCGGCCAGATCTCTCGTCTGTCTCCGTCCAGGAGGCTCTGGACCTCTTCCGTTTGTCCTCCTCCAAACGCGTCGCTTTTGGATTCAACTATGGTCAAAGAATATTTAGCGCAGGTACGGTTATTAAGTGTTAACAGCCACTGTCGCCCGTGCTCGGGATACTAGTTCACTCATCCCCGACTTTGTTGACTACTTCACTTCCTGCGCATTCGAATACGCAGGATATGCGTAATGACCATCTTCAAGTCATGGGAGCTGTGCCCAGTCTGGTACAAAAACACGTCCCTTTTCTCCGATCAATTTGGCAGCATGATAGCGGCTACCGAACTCCCAGTACTCTCATCTTGTGGATACAATTAGGTAAGCAGCAGTTCTAGGTCAAGAGTGGCAAAACCAAATTCTCGAGACGCATGATGACAAATTCGTCCAGACTATTTCAGTCATCACCCTTGAGTGGCATGAGATTTCCGGGATGTTGTTGCAGTGATCCTGGACTGTCCTTCAAGACGAATCCGGTGTACTTCACCCTAGGGCTGGTTCTTGGATGATGGTATTCAGGTACCTCCAGTTCTCGCTCCCCACTCAGGCGCACGGATAAACATTCATAACCATATAGGTGAACTGACTGGAAAGATGCCCGACACAGGCTAATCCTCGTGACTAGCGATATCACGTCGGGTTCACAGACGCCTGATAAGGACTGTGAAAACCCTACAAGCATTATCGATTCCGGAGGTGATGCCGTTCTATGTCAGTCATCTGGCGCTCAGGTCCAAATTTGACAACGTCAGAACCGTCAGAATCCAGTCAATGGTTTATCCAGATAAGTTGGGTGGCGGAGTGCAACCTTGCTAGAAAGCAGACCGAATATAGGATGACTGGGAAACATTCTGGACGAGAACTCTTGGAGTGACAGAAGGAGGACAAGTCTTGACCACGACGGTTATTTTTGCCGGTATACCGTCTAACTTCACTACCCGTCACAGAGTCTCGCGGTTAAGGGAACCGAAAATTGTAGCGAAGCCAGTAAAGCAGACAGTGTTCGATTAGTGGTAACCGTGGCGGAGTTTAATAATTAGCCGCAGTGTAAATACTTGGTCGACACATCCACGTCCACCCTGGAACCTGGCTTGGTTTGTCCTCGTTCTCGAATCATGTACATTCTGAAACCGCCTAAGAACAACGATAACATAGGACTTTGGAGCGGTTTTTGTTAGACTCATGCTGCAGTGATTCTTGCACTCTTGTTTCCATCAGGGGCGGGCACATGGATGTCTAAGCCCCAGTCATGAAGGACAAACTTTTTCGCGCATGCTCAGCCACACCTTAGAGCCAGGACGTCAAAGTATCGACAAGAGAATTGTAGACCTCGATCGGAATACCATCATCTCCGGACGTCTTGTCACACAGCCTCAGTGTTGCGTCAATTTACCGAGAACGAGTCACACATTCAATCAGGAAAGGGCGCACACCGATCTATTGGCTTCACGAAGCAAACGAGCTCTGTATGGGTGGCAAAGGTCACGAACAGGCAACCAATTACCAGGCCGAAGTCGGCCAAGTCATAATAGCATCAAGGAGGGACGACAGAGAATGCAGGTAGATTGATACAGTACTGTTTTGGGCTTATTGTGCCTTCATTCAGCCAATCATAACCCTGACCACCAGCAGCTGCGACCAGAAACACAAACATGCGCACAGACGCACACATTACTACGTAGGCCGAAGAAGGATATCACCTCGCTGCAGGGGGAGGCGATTGTTGGGTTGTCATCGAAATTGAAAAGATGTACAAAGTGCTCATGTCAACGCCTGACCTTGACCGAGTTTTCAGCAATAAAGCCGCAATGAATACTACAATCGGTCACTCAGTAGAGAGGGGCTCATCAGTAACTTGACGAATAATTTGATAAAGTTTTAACTGGAATATGAGCCGTACTGCATAGACGTCGCCAAGCCAGCCTGATAGTTTTTGCATTCCTATTCAGCTGACTTTGTTGTGATTTTGTGGGGCTTGCAGAAAGAGTAAACGTTGCGTGACCTAGCCCTAAATGATCGGGCCGACAACTGTAAGGCTCCTGAGCTGATCCAGTCGCTTCTACGTCGTTGAGTAAATTAAAAAACTGGCTGGAAAAGGCTGTGTGTACCCCTCCCCTGAACTATATTTATACAGTGCCGGCTTGTTTAACTTTTTAACCAGTAGGCGGTGCGCATTCTTCTCGCAGGTCGCGCGTTTTTCTGCGTAACTTAATTTACGTGATTTTCTTTCGACGCCTCTTTATTACATTTCAGGGTTGGAAACAGTTGCTTGTACCCAAAAACACAACCGTTCCCTACCCGTTACATAACGCGTACGGCATAAATACGATTCTTAGTTTTTTCGTTTCGTGCCCGAAAATTACTTTATTGACGACCATTTGCCAGTACCTTTTTCTCAAAGGAGTTTCAAGATGCAGTCGAACTTCTGTGTTGGGTTGCAACGCCAAGACGTCTTTTATGGGGCATTTTGGGTGCGGATAAGACGTAAATTTATAGGCGTATGTAGCCCTGAGCATGGTCTGGCGTCTAGACATTGTCAGTTTTGGCGCAACATACTGATCTGCCATAGTAACCCCAACTGCGAAATCTTAGGCTGACAAGAATGTGGTCAATCCGGTTGATCGCACGATTTTCGTTCGAACTTCAGGTGTGGTCCCTAGAATAGTTGGTGCGCTTTATATACCACAATCATCAGGGCCCAACCCCGTTTTGAAGAAGAGGAAAGACATTTATAGGCCGCCTGATATCCTGTACAGATGCCTGTTGGTGGTCATAGCATTCGGCACGCGACCGCCTCTAGGTCTGCTTCGCCCCCAGTAAGGTCAATGTGAACGCAGTGTCCAAGTGTCATGTGAGAGCCGGTGGGAGTTAGCTTGGTGAATTGATTGGATGATTAAGGAATCTGTGGGCGTCCGTGATTGGCTGTCCTCCAGACTGGATGTGCGCGTCCACCCGCTCGTAAGCCGTGATCACGTGATTTCTAGCACGGTGTATATGCTAGAGGCGAAAGGCTCATATGCGCTTGAGTCACTACAATGCTTGTGGCGATGCCGGAAGCGCTTGTTGGTAACCAGTAGTTGACCTTGGACGGCAAAATTCTACATTTCTTCACCACTGTCGCATCGACAAACGAGTCTTTAACGGCCAATAAGGTACCTGTCTGAAGAGTCGATTTACCCAGTCCAGCCCTTCCAACTCCCGGCAGCAATCAACAGATCACGACGAGCGAGTCTTTGACCACTTCTTGCAGCTATCAGTAGTTTACTTTATCTCGCCAACTGGCAGTTGATGTTGGTTTGTAGACAGAAACGACAGAAGTGCCAGCAAAATACCTCGTCAGTCGTCTGAGTGGTTCTTGCGCAAGTAATGCGTTGTTTGTCGGCTGTGAGAGGGTGATAGCAACCGTGTCCGCCGGGATAGAGGGTGCAGTGGAAGTTGGCCCATGGGCACTTGATTTCTCGAAAGCACGAGCTGGGGAGTTCGGACAGCACACATGCAGCAGGCATCCATCTTGTACTGATGGGGACTGCGGACCACCAGACTTCGGGCACAAGCCACATCCCAGCGTCTAATATCGTGGGTCTGTTCCTGATTAGGTAGTCTAGCTTGCATACTGCTAACCTGCGTCACTGAACCTGAGTTCCGAAACGCGTCACTATCCTCGGGCGCCGTAGCACCAATAACATATTTCCATATTTTGAGTACAGACCGGTTCACAACAATCGTCTGAATTGTTTAAGACTGTCTGCAGTTCAGAGTAGTTGCGCGTGAGCATTGCCTTCATCGACGTTACTGAGCTCGACGTCGTTTTCGGAGGGAGGGAGTGAAAGGGTGAACCCAATCTTTCACATGACAGTCGTCGAACCAAGTACTTTTTCTCCTCGTTTTTGTAGTGCATACAATTCTATGGTTGACAGTACTAACGACGAGCAAATCATTGAGCTAAAACTTCAGAGAAGACGTCTTAGTGGAGTCGACTTGATGGGCCGCATTACTCTTTTCATGATCCTTAAATTTTATAAAGCTCAACTCCAGCAAGTGTAGTAATTTCACTGCAATACGGTTTGTACGGTACTGACTCTCTCATTTTAGATAGTCATGAGTGTGCCTATTTCGAAATATAAAAATGCCTGGGCCTTAAAATCCCATCTTCGCATGTTCTATCTTCCAAGTGCTTAACCCACTTTTAGTTTACTTTGAGATTTCATTTGAAGCCGCCCCACTCTGGATGGTTTTATTCGATGTTTTTAGGTGACAACTAAACACCCATTCAATGGTTTGAAAGAAAACGGCAATTCCCAACAATCGGATGAAGAGAAGCTTGCCATAAAGAAGATCAGCGCTGGCAGAACTCCTCTCCATTCCCCATTTGTCCGTCCTGAGCTTTATTGCCCACTCCAGTTCCCCAACGTCGCCTCAATGAAGATGCCTGTACAAAACGTTGCTTGGGTGGAACAACTCAAGGCCCGCAGCCTCACTCCACCCGTTTCCGGGTCACCACAGAAAACAGTATGCCTTGGTTATGACGGTGGTGGCGACGTTCAGCAGCCAGTTCGAAGGCGTTTGATCAGCGACAACTCGGCCACTGCTCCCTTTTGTCCGTCTGCAGCTGAGGAACACGTACTCGATGCACTGACATCCAAGGCTGAAATAGAACAGGTCCGACATAAGTTCAAGGAGCTGGAAAAGAAAAGCGACGCCACCTATCTCAAACTCGCCCGCAGTGTTTCAAGTGGGCTTGAATTGTAGTCTTTATCACTATTTTAACGTGTCTTACTGTAACTCCGTGTGTCCTGTATCAAGTGCCTTCTCAACTATACTTTGTAGGTGCTGTTGCGCCCTTCAAGATCGGTGATCCTTTTTTCGGTCACAGGAGCGGTGACCATGCATCATCCTTCAACTTGGCGAATTCGCACGAAAAACCAGCGCGACATATATTGTCTCCGCCGCCACCATCGATGTCCACCTGCCTCTCAGTTCCCACCTCCCCGAAGGCGCGTCGTGCCACTTCGATGCTGATGACAACCAGCCCACTGGCGAGCAGCCTGCCGCATAGTAGCGCTCTGGCAGCTCTGTCTGATGAGGGTTCCTCTAAGCCCACGAGGGAGCCTTCGATGAAGGCGTCGGGTGGTCTCTGCTTCTTCGGTGGGGAGGAGGCAGTGGCGCGCCGGATCCGAGGCCAGGAAATCAACCTTATGACCCCTGTGTCCTTCTAAACACGTTGACGACGCCTCATTTCTAACCCGCATCACTGTCGATATCGGGAAACCGTTGGTATTCTGGTGACGTTCCAGCTGACTGTCTGTCAACGTCCAGATCACTTAGTTCACATTTTGTACCAAAGCGTATACAAAGATCTCTATCCCAGGCCCGACGGTCCCTGGTGCATTCTTCCTCTGAACGAGGTTAAGTGCTACCAACGTCTGATTTTTGGCCTTCTTTTTACATCAGATCTGCACTCCCTTACCGCCTTTAATCCCATTATTCCAATCCATTTAGGCACACGCAACTGTCCCCTGCTTATTTTGGGCATATGCATGTATTTTTTCAACTTTTCCATTGACTTATACCTCTGTCATCTGCCATCCAGTGGGATGATGGACTATTTGTACCACATATGACTCAGGACTAGTGCGTAAGAATAATTG